CACGAACAGGGTATCTGGCAGTCTTTACCATTCGATTGCAACGATCATGGTTATTTATTGTGCAAAGACGACATCGGCGATTGCGCCGAGTGTCGCTGTCGGGTCTGGCAATTGTTTTAAATGTTATCGGTGTGTGTGTGTGTGCCAATTGTGTTTATGTGAAACAAACAGTTTTTTCGGGCTTCATTAAAATTTCTAGAAACTCGACCACTCCAAATGTTCTCTAATTACAAACAATTTCAGTGCAGCAGCAGCGGAGGCGGCGGCAGCAGGCGCAAGTGGCAAATTGTAGCTATTGTTTTTATTTATTTTTTCATGTAGTATTTTATTTTTTTTCATTTTGGAATTGCCAAACAAAAGCATCGCCCACACACACACACACACAGTCAACCAATATACACAGAAGAGTCAATCAAAATAATTACAGCAACAACAAAATCCAATTGGATAGTTCCCGAGTGAAAATAAAAACTCAAATAATAAATGTCAATTAAGCATGAATTGCGGTCTTGTTGTTTTTGCTGTTGCTGCCGCATATCCATATGCACCGTACATCGATTACAACTCAGTGTCATTGTTGTTGTTGCTAAGTGCGTTCAGTAATTTGCTGGTAATTATCACTCACGCACAATCAAATGTAAATTAGAAGCGAGGGCGAGAGAAGAAGAGAGTGCGATACAGAGTTGCTTCAGTGAGTGAGTGCTAATTATACAGGCACTTGCATACACTTGCACACGTGTTCGTGAAGTGAGTGAGCCAGCACTCGTAGAGAGTGAGCGAGTGAGTTGCACAGTGGTGCGTAGGCTGGTGGACAATGTTGATCGCACATTGGCAGGAAATTCATTTGCATTGGTCTCTAATTGCATTAGTGTGCATTGTTGTGTTATTGTCAGCTCAATGAGAAATATTAGATATTATATCTATTTACATATGCTTGTATAATTAAAAATGTAGAATCAAAAATTCAACGCTTTTCGTTGAACATATGTATGCACATTTAGATGTAAATAATCTGTACATTGTTCAACTTAATTTTTACGAATTTTTTTTTATTTTTATTGTCAAACTGACAAACTTCTGTGGCTTTTGTTTTGCGCACAATATTATGTGAAAATTGTAAAGCGAAAAAATAATAATGGGGAACAACAATAAAAGAAAAAAATTAGTATTGTCGGTATAATTTGTATGTCAATATAGTAGTGAGTAACAACAAACACAGCAACAACAATAGACATGTTAGAATAGCAAAGATTTCTCTCTGGCCTGACCAGCTACAACACAAAGCAGATACACTATGGTCACTCTATTTTAGCCAGCATGAGTGAACAGGCGAGCGCGAGAGAGTGCGAGAGTATCACAATTTACGCCTGCTTATGCCTGTCTGTATGTGTGTCGCAACGCAGAAATGAATGAAGCGAGCACCGCAGCCGCTGCCGCTGCCGCTGCCTGTCGTAAGAGCAAGTGCTTGTGTGTAAGAATATTTTCGCATGTTGAAAAACAAAGAGTTATGAAATTTTCCAATTGGCAAATATACAACACGAGCCACGACAAGGGCAAAGAGAGCAAGCTAGCGCGAGGGAGAGAATTGTGTGTGAGAATTTGCGCTTACCGTTTGCTTATTAACGTAGGCGTCCGTTTGCTGCTGCTTCTGCTGACTGCGTATACTTTGGTAAGTCTGTATGTGTATTTGTGTGTGATTCTTTTTTTTTGTCACTCGTGTTATTTTAATTTGCCAGGGGCTGGTTGCGTTGTGGTTTTTGTTATGCAAAATGACATAGATTTTTTTTTCACAACTCGCAACACTTAAACATTATAAATTATTAAATTCTGCTTCGGTTGCTGCTGCAAATATAATTCGAACGCAATGCACAGTGTGTAAAATCGATGAGTGTGTGTTTGTTTGTATTTTATTTTTACTTGTTCGACTCCGCCGCGCTGCTCGCGTAAACGGCAAAACAAAACGACTGCGACTGGCACAGCGACGACCACTTTACCGTGAAAAATTTTCATTCATTGAGGAAAATTGAAACGAGCGGCGATAGAGCGAGAGAGCGAGCCAGGAACGACGACGCGACAACATGCAGCTTGGCGTGTGTGTTTGCGCTCTTTAACAGTGTTGCCAACTCAGCAGTGTCCAACGAAATGCTCTCAAAACGAGGCACAAGCATTTAACATGCAATTTGTATAAAAATTAAATGTTAATCTCCTGCACACACATTTTCTATTTTCTTTTCGTTTGCTTGATTGCCAAGCAGCGTCCCCGCCCCCGCAACAACACGCACACACACACAGAGCGAGAGAGAGTCTCAACTCTGGTCACACAACAGACGGCGCGTCGACGTTGGCAGCGGCACGTGTGTGTGTTTGTCGTTTGCCTAAATTTCATTGCTCTCTCGCTCTCTTACACGCGCATTTCGTTTTTGCTTCTCGATTCGATTTTCCTATTATTGTTGTTATTATTTAAATTATTTATTAATTCAATATTCAGAAGTTACCCACTGCATTAGATTACTCGAAGTTGGCGCTTTTTGCCCACTTAAAGCGTTATTTCACACACATACAAATACAGGCATCAATGCAAATTTCATTTCTTCTTGCTACATTTTTCACTTGATTCTTTCTTACTGCGATTTTTTGTTATATTTTTTTGACTCGTACGTTGATTTTGTTGCTTATATGCACTGAAACTGCATATGTTTCTATTTATGTATATACATATGTATTTTGAGTTGCCAAGTGCTAGCACAGAATTAAATTGTTGCTAACTTCCACACACAAACGTATGTTCACACCACGGATGTCTCTAGCAAACTAATTCACAGTGGCAACTCTAAGCCAAAGTCTTGTGAAATGGTCAGGCGGAATTGAAAATACCAAAAAACGCGTAGAAATATACTAAGCGCGTATTTTGTAAGGCAGCCCTGAAAATATTGTTCAATTATTAATTTAAGTGCTGATCCACATGGACTATCAAAAACAATTTAATTGCAAATATTGACATATTATTTTATTTTTTAAATTATTTAAAGTCGAAATTAACAAAATTTTTTTTTTATAAAGTCTGCCTGAAATAAGTTAAGCACATATGGCAACGCTGTCAGTGCAAATGGCGGCTTATTTAAATAATAATATTACCCCTTAGTTTACTGCTCTTTTAATTAAGTATCTGCAAATATTGAAATAAACAAGTTAAATTAAACAAACCATTTCACGTATAAGCTATTTTTCAATGTATTTGCAATATAAGGATTGTCTTTATTGAGGAATAAGCTCACCTGCTTTGGCGGGACCACCACGAAATAGTGTGACCGTTGGGCGAAAGCTTGAAGTTATCAAACTTTCAACGGACAACAAGTTTAAATTAATTTTTGAAATTCCATCCGAATGTGCGGAAAAATCGCAAAGACGTTTGAATGAAACTTTTTGTTAAAGATTTGGTGGGTGACGTTTCGCACTCAAATTCTTTTCCAAAGGTCTATATGAAAAATCATGTGATACGTGTTTCACAATTTCCGCTAAATCAAAGCTTCCTTGGTGGGAAATGCGGTTCTAAGATATTTTTCGGTGACGTTTTAAGTCCGATTCGCATCAAACTTATTTTAAAAACTCTATATAACAAATTAATGAATACGTATAAAAATGGTTGTGTGATAGTTTTTTGTTTACCGTCCGATCGGTTATAAACTCATTATTTTCTTTAAGAGAATTTATTTAATACGTGCCACGGGCAAGGCTGGGTTATACCCGCTAGTTATTCAATAATTGTCTTAAAGACATTATATTTTTGTTCTTATTTTGTTGCGGAATGGCTTAGTTAATTTACCAAAAATATAACTTAACGCAAATGATGTTCATTTGATAAATTTTTAATAAATTCATCATACCCTTGTAGAGGGTATTATTATATTTTTTTATAATATGTGTAACGCATAGAAGGAGATATCTCCGACCCCAAAAAATATATACATATACTAGCGGGTATAACCCGGCCTTGCCCGTGGCACGTATGTAATAAAATCAAAAAAGCTTTGAAAATGATTTTAAAACTGATCGGACGGGAATCAAACAACTTTTATGCAAATCGGAAAACTCTTAAAATTCACCAAAAAAATCTTAAAAATGCATTTTCCACCGAAGGAGTTTAGATTTTGCGAGAAATGTGAAACACGTCTCTAATGATTTTTCTTATAGATCTTTGGAAATAAATTTAAACACAAAACGTCATCCACCAAATCCACCAAGGAGGGATGGATTTTTCAAAAAGTGTGAAACACCCCTCAAATGAATTTGAATATAGATCTTTGAAAATTAGTTTGGGGCCGATCGGATGGTAAACAAAAAAGTTACATACAAACGTTTTTCGCGATTTTTCCACACTTGCGGGTGGAATTTCCCGAAACCCCGTCTTAACGTGCACCTACATCACATAAGGTAACTACAGTGAAAATTTCAGCTTCCTAGCTCTTACGGTTTGGGCTGTGCGTTGATCACCAATCAGTCAGTCAGTCAGGACAAACAGTTTTATATATAGAGATTGTAGATTAGCATAAACAGCCGAGTTGATATAGCAAAAAATATATATATTGTAGATTAGCATCAACAGCCGAGTTGATATAGCCATACCCGTCTGTCCTTCTGTATGTTTCTACGCGAAGTAGTCTCTCAGTTTTACATCTATCGTCTTAAAACTTTGCATAGGTCTGTATTTCTTTAGCAGGCAGTACATATATCGGAGCCGACTGGATTAGACCACTATATCATATAGCTGTCATGGGAACGATCGGTTGTATGAAAAACTTGTATGTTTATAAAGATATGTTGACCATATCTGCACTTATTTGTTTTACAATGCTCTGTACACATTAGCAAAATTTAACAACATCGCACCACTTTATTATACAGCTGCCAGAAAAAAGATCGGTCGAAAAGTTGGTAGCCATAAAATGAAGATTACTTGAACACCATAATGTATATACTATTCTAGAATCTACATGTCAAATTTGATGAGTCTGGCCATTAAAAATCGGCGATGCTTCCTTCTGCTACATACATTTGAAAAGAACTATTAAACTCTTTTTACCCATTTTCAATGTGTCCAGAGTATGAAAAGAGATGGACTGCCAGAGAGAAAGAATGAGAAGTATTGTATATTACAATTTTATGGAGAGTTTTGTGTCAAAGCAAAATTAAAATAGAAGCCAACATAATTACCAAATCTATTTTCTGCCAGAGTTTGTTCATGAGAACATATGGGATTTTATATGTGTAAGTACATCGATTTTATCGTATATAGTAAAAACATAACAAGATAGTAAATCCCAGGAATTTCAGAAACACAAAAACAACGGACTCAAATCCTTAAAGCTTTTTGTGGAATACATTTGATAAAATATATTTCTTTTATCAAGTGGATCACAATTGTTGAACAGTTTGTAGGGCTCCCAGCTTCTGGTGTATTAAGCCTGATACGATTATTGCGAGCTGAGGCAAGGGAATACTTGGAAAAGCCTATCACACGCAAGTTAGTGTACTTATAACTTTTTGATCTTCTGGCTGAGCAATTCGGGTTCTCCATTCAATCCCCCAATCCCCAAATAACCGCACACATGGTTCACATAATAAAAATATCGGCACTCATAAAATGGAAATGCAAAGGCATTCATCACATTTGCGCCAAAGTTTAGAAATATTAAACCGCTTATGCGAGCCAGGCAGCTGCTGCCTGCGCATTAATTTCGACCTGGTGCAAACATCTACGGCATAAATTACGCATACGTCATGTAAGCCGTGTGAGAATAAACAACTTTACACCTGAGGTGTGTTGTTGTTGCTGTTTCTGTTGCTGTTGTCGCTTCTATTATTGCTCCTTGTTGTTGTTATTGTTGTTGTTGTCGTTCGCTCAACTTTTGACTTTTATAAGTGCAAAGTCAGAATGAAATAATGCGGGCCTATTCAAAACGCACCTATTAGAACCTAGAACCCAAAGTTTAATGAGTCACAAAGAGTAAATTGCTCGCAAGGAGTTGTTGCAAAGTACGAAAAGTTTCATTAATTAACGTTATGTTGACAAATTGGATTAGACAACTCCCTCTTTCTCTAGCTCCTATTATTCTAAGATTTTACAATAGGACGTAAATAGGAAACCAGATTTTAAATAAATTGTGAGGCAGCAATTATTAAAGCAATCAATACTCTTTGAAAGATTTGGTTTGGAAAATCTACTATACAAAAATATTTGAAAATAATTTATTTCTATATATAAAACGGTTTGTCTTATGTTACCTATGCGATAGAGGAGCACAGTAAGGCCACCCGCAAGTGTTGGTTTGAAACTTTATTGCGTAGATCCGATTGGCCTCAAACTCATTTTCAAATAAATTTGTTCAAATTCATTTGAGGAATGTTTCACACTTTCCGGAAAATCCAGCCCTCCTTAGTATAAATGGGCGTCAACAATTTGATATGTGAATTTTCCGGTTCAAATTCATTTCGAAAGAATCTTAATTTGAGACGATTTTCACACTTTTTACAGAATCCAAGCTCCATTGCTGGAAAATGCGGATCAAAGATTTTTTGGGTGAAGTTTTGAGTTTTTTATTTTCAAAGTCCTATATAAGAAGTTATATACTTATTCAAATGTTTTAGCAATTTTCGAAATTGCATCCAACTTCTTTGTTTACCATTGGATCGGCTTCAAAATTATTTTTAGAGATATTTGTTAAAATGCTGCAAGGGCTTAAATTTTATTTATACAGCTTCAAGATTTTCACCACAAAATTAAAACGTGCGGAAACCGTTGATTCCAACTTATGGTTCTATATTCAATTATTTTATGCATATTTGCTGTTAAGATAGTACGGGCTTAAAAAGTAATTTTTATAAATTTTGGCACAAAACTTGCAATGGGCAAGGCCGGGTAATATCCGCTAGGTAATATATATATAGGAATGGCCATTCGATGGATTTCATAAGCAATTAAGTTCTTTGGCTTCTTAATATATTATTTAAAGAAATTACATGCTGCAAAATTCCAAAAGCAACACACAACAGCGATACACACATTTCAAATAGCCTCCCAAGCTCAAACTCGATTCTCGTTCCTCTTTTATGTTCTATCGATATATCGTTGGTTAATTTTCCATAGCAGAGCTGCATATAAAAAACTAATATTACACTCGCCTGTTTATTTTGAATGATTATAAATTCGATCACTTCTGGTTTTATTTCCATATCTTATATGTGATTGAAAATATTATTTTAATATTTGTAAATAATTGTATATTTTAATTTTAAGCATAAAACCATAACAGACCTTAAACCACTGTACAAAAAAGTTCAAATAAACAAATGGAAAACTATGAGATTATTTTTAACTTTTTTTCCCCTCCACCTTTCCACCCTTCCATTTAAAGACAATTTTACGCGAGATGACAAAGTTGAGCTCGTTAATGCTAGCAAAATACAAAAAGGGTAAACGGAAACATAAAAAGCACGCAAAAGTGAATTGATGGCTTGGTAGGTGTGTGTGTGTGTGTGTGTTTGGGAGTGTGTGCGTGTGTATGTGTGAAGGGGGTGGATGGTATTTAAAATAATAATCATAATTTGCTACACCTGTCATCAAGTTTTTATGTACGTCGTTTACAACGGCAACAGCAATGTTTTTGCATATTTCTCCATAAAATGTAATTTGTAAAATTTTCAACAATAAAACATTAAGAATAAAAAAAAACGGCAAGTGTCAGCTTGTGTTCGCCTTGGCCCAGCACATTTTTCGCATTTAGTTTGGCATGAAAAGCGCATGTTAAAAAACTAACGAGGCAAATCCCAAGGGGAAGTTTGGACTTGGGGTCGAGAAATTTGTGGGATACTTTACTTTAAAATACTTTAAAACAAGCAAAAATAGAAGCGGGTAAGAGTAAAACGCATTAAATGAAAGAGGAACAGAGAGAGCACAACAATTATTACCAAAGCATGAAAACGGTTAGTTGCACTTGGATTCAAGAAATTCTTGCAGAACAGCAAAAGGAGAGGGTGAAACGCTTTTAATCAAAGCATGTATCAAAGTATGTATCTACTTAAATTTATGAGAGTGGCTAAGTCTATGTTTTTGTTTTTAATTCCTAATTCTTTTATCGGAAGCGCAGCAGATCGAAAATACACCAGATCAGAAGGGATATAAACTTAGTGTGTTTTTAGGCACAAGAGAATAAATATATTGCGTCTATTACCTTGTCTTTTTCAAGTCAAGCTTTCATCTATAAATTTTAAATATTATACACATTATAAACTCAACGAAAATAATTATTGGAAAAATGTTGTATGTGAGATCGCTTATTAATGACTTGGTGAGAATATGATTAAAATAAATTTGTTTGTAAAAATGTCAATATCAAAAAGTAACTATCACTTACATTGCGCTCAGCTTCGAAATATACATTCATAATTCTTTACAGATTGACTATATAAATAAATTAAATAACAAATGGATTGTCATATATGTTTCACAACATTATTATACCTTTTTTTACTATTGGTATATATACAGGGTATAATAATTCTATGTGTTTGTGTGTCACAGAAATACGAACGCACATTGGATAAGCTATTCGGTTTTTTTTTAATAGTGGCATCAAATCTATAAGCTACGTGAATATGAAATTAGAGAAATAGAAATTAGAAAGTAGAGGCTCTAGTCGGGAGTTCCCGACTAGGGGATACCATTAACCGCCCTCTTCAATCAATCGCAATTGCAATGCTGTTGATAGAATACAATAAAGACGCACATGAATGTGTTCGTGTTCACGTACACAGAAATTCTTGCAATTTGCGCTAGCTGCAGCAATCACATGGTCAGTATCAACACAGTTTCTTTAATAACTTTTCTGTTTCTTCACCGATGTTGATGAAATTATCAACAGTACATCTTATTATGCTATAGAATATTCCTTTAATTTCAAAGGGACAATTGTGTTTAATTTGTGGCTTAAATTTGTGGGTAGCTCAAATTTATTTTGGTGTGTAGGTGAAAATAGCTTTAAAATGAACAAGTAAGAGGATATCCTGAACCCTCTTCTTCCAACACCAAATGCAGCCCGCGTTACGCGCTCATTTGCTTTAGTAATAAAGATAAAATTAAAAAAAGACGTTTTCTTGGCAGGGTTTGAACTCACAACTTACCGCACTACTTGCCGCCGCCTCTACATAACAGCCACACCAGCCAAAAAAATAAACAAATTTCCTTAGGTAGGTCTTGAACTCTCAGCAGACCACACTAGAATTCAAAGAAGAATGTGTGTGTACATGTATGTATACAGATATTCTGGCAACTTGCGCTGGCTGCCGCAAACACGTGGACAGCCGAAACACATTTTCTTTTGTGTTTTTTACCAAATCTTGATGTAATTTTCTCAAAAAACAGGATTTCGATATCGAATTTTATTGATTACTTTAAAACGGGGCAAGTTATCGAATATAGGAAATAAACTCGATCTCCGCGGGCACAAGGAGGACCTACAGCTAAAATTCCAAGTCTCTTGCTCTTATAGGTTCTGAGATCCTTGCGTTCATATATACGGACGGACGCACAGACAGACGGACATGGCTAGATCGACTCGGCTGTTGATGCTGATCAAGAATATATATACTTTATGAAGTTGGAGATGCTTCCTTCTGCTTGTTACATACTTTTGCACAAATACATTATACCCTCTTTACCCATTTTCAATGGGTTCAGTGTATAAAAATATTTTATATATTATGAATAAAGTTTTTCAGAAGCTACATGTCAATTTTGGTGACACTAGCTCTTAAAACATGAGCTTTGCCAAAAACAGAATATCTATATTGATTTTTAACGAATATCGGATGTCGAATGTCGAATACCTGAAACAAACTCGTACTGCGCTAGGAAAACATACGTTTAAGAATTCAAACTCTTATAGGTTCTGAGATTCTTGCGTTCATACATACGGACGGACAGACGGACGGACGGTCGGATAGAGAACGGACATGGATCGACTCGGCTATTGCTGCTGATCAAGAATATATATACTTTATGGGGTCAGCCTGTTACATACATTTGCACAAATACATTATACCGTTTTTACCGGTTCCGGGTTCCGGGCATAAAAAACGGTTACAAATATATTTGTTTTAATGTTGATGGCAAAATTAGAAACGCCAAAAACAATACGGTCGAAAACAAAAAACTGAAACTTCATTTTAGATGTGGTGTATATATTCCAAGTGTATTTAATTTTAAATTAATTATGCCTGCAGGGATAATTGTATATGTGGGCATGTGTGTGCATATGTGTACATGTGTGTGCATGAGTGTGTACTCTTACATCGACACAATTTAAATATGTAATGAAATTTGTGCATAAAACTTTGGCTTTGGGAAAGCTAAACTTTGCGAAACACAAAAAACAGCAACTAAAACAAGTTAGCATGTGTAATTCGAGAGTGCGCCACTAGCTAATATCCTGTGCTTACATTCGTTGTTCGTTAAATGTACATATCATAAAACCCACATACACATGGCAGGTTTTTGTGCCCTCGATATTGTTGCAGAATTTTGAAAAATTAAAATGATGCTGATCTGTCAAATGATATATTTCAAATTTTGCTCGAAGATAAGCATAGACTTACCATAATACCCCTTCGATTTTTATTTATTTTCTTACCAATTTTCAATAAAGTAAAAATTATTTTACGTTTATATTTTTAAGCAAGTTTTAATTTACGTTTTTCTGAAATATAAAAATAAAGGTGGATAATGCTTATGCTACTGTAAATGTATCTCTCAGGCGATAC